GCCGGGACCCCTTCCTTGCCTGTGTTTCTCCTGGGAGCGGCGAGGTCCGGCGACAATAAAGCCTCTGGAATCTGACCGGAGCGGGCAGTGCGAGCACTTTGGGCCTTTCTCTCGCCGCGTGGCAGGCCGGGAAAGGCGAGCACCTGGCCTTGGGGCGCCTGTCCCGATCCTCTTTTTTTTTAAAAAGTATATCTTATTGATTTTTTACAGAGAGGTAGGGAGAGGGATAGAGAGTTAGAAACATCGATCAGCTGCCTCCTGCACACCTCCCACTGGGTATATGCCGGCAACCAAGGTACATGCCCTTGACCGGAATCAAACCTGGGACCCTTCAGTCCGCAGGCTGACGCCCTATTCGCTGAGCCAAACTGGTCGGGGCTGTCCCGTCCCTCTTGTACAGGTGTTATTTGCACCCCAGAACCATCAGCTGAGAACCCCGATGCATCTGTGACACGGCCCTCCACGCCTGCACACATGTCGGGAGCACCTAAGTGCACGCACTAACACCTTCACCCCCATGGTGCCCCGCTGCTCAGGGCCTTTGGGACCCCGGGGCCTGTCAATCACTGCCCCAGGTCTTGGTCCTGATCAGAGAAATCTGGGGAATCGCAAAGGAGCTAAAGGCTCTGACAAGTCCTGCAAGAAACATCTCATTTAATTTTTTTATTTTTAAAAAATATATTTTATTGATTTTTTTACAGAGAGGAAGGAAGAGGGATAGAGAGTTAGAAACATCAATGAGAAAGAAACATCCATCAGCTGCCTCCTGCACACCCCCTACTGGGGATGTGCCTGCAACCAAGGTACATGCCCTTGACCAGAATTGAACCTGGGACCCTCCAGTCCGAAGGCCGACACTTTGGTGTGTCTCCAGCTCGTTTCAGCAGATGGCCCATGGGTCACCGCCCTACCCCCTTCTCCCACCCCCAGGGCCCTGTGTCGAGACACAAACTTGAAGACCTACCCAGCCTGGAAGTGTAGGCTCCCTCCCAGTGTTCCCTCCTCTACTCCCTGCCTGTGAGGCCAGGAGCCAGTCCCTTCCCTGCTCTGAGCCTCAGTTCCTCTTCTGAACACAGGCACACTCACCCCTACCTTGTGTGGTTCTTGGGGTGTTCAGGTGAGCCCAGGAAGTGAGTGAGCACTTGGGAAATGGTGGAGCATGAGCCACGCGATTCCTCCCCTTCCCCACCGCTTTTCATACCTTTATTCCCTGGGGCAGGGGGGACACCCAGAAATCACCCCAGTGTCTTCCCCCAATACTGGCATCAGGGTCCTGACTCTGACATGATCCTAGAAACCAAGAGATCATGACGTTTCTTCTTCCCTTCCCTCAGCTGTGGCACCAACCAGCCTAAAGTGTCACCATTGGGCCAACCAGTGACAGTCACCCCTGTCATTTCCAAAAAGGGGGAGCACCACGCCCCCTCCAGGTGGAGAGTGAGAGGTGGGTGTGTGAGGGGGTGGCCTCTGGTCAGGAAGACGTCAATCATGGGACTGAAGACCTCGCTCAGAATTCTTGCCCCTAAGCTCGCTTTCCAGGCTGGAGGTGGGGCAGCAGAATGTCAGGCAACCACAGGGCAGATGAGGCAGATGTTGAGTTCCTGCCATTGCCCAGGAGGGGTTCACCCTCACAGACTTGACATTCTGGGCAGTTCAATGGCTATCCTTGCCTGGACTCGGGAGCCAGAAGGCCCAAGTTCTGGTCCTTCCTACTGGGCCGATGTGAGTGAGACATCTCTCCTGACACTGCACTGGTCAGCCAGACTGGGGCACCACTGTGGGGCAGGGCAGGGCTGGGTATAAGCAACTCCGTGCACCCAGCATACCCTGGCACATGGGAGCCCCTTGAATGAAGCCTTGAGGATGGCTGTGTGGGGCCAGGTTGGGGACCCTGAGATGAGTCGGATCTCGAACTGCTTCTCTCTCTTCCTGGCAAATCCCCAGGCTTGCACAGGTCCGAGGCTTTCCCCATCACACCCTCCATCACGCTAGATGCCTAGGAACAAAGACCCGGGGCACACAGAGGGGTCCGAGGTGGTGAGTGGAAGGCATTTGCAAGGAGTTTCTACATCAGCTCAGCTCGCCTACATACAGCGTTCCGGGTTTATTCCTGACTCAGGTCTGCCTATGGGACCCCTTACCCTCCCAGGCCTGCCAAGGGCCAGCTTTTGCCAGTGCCCCCTCCCTGGCTCTCGGCGAGGAGCACCTGCTCTGAGAGCCGGGAGCCGCGGACCAGAGGAAGCCTCAGCAGCTATTAGGGACCCAGGGAAGTGGTGGAGGAAGGGCCCAAGGCCGGAGATGACCCGGCCTGGAGCAGAACTAGCACTGGTAGCCACAGAGGCTTGTCAGGACTACAAATCCCAGGCGGCTGAGCGACAGGCCAACCGCCACATTTCCCGGCAGCCATTGGGTGCCTCACGCAGGTCCTTCCGCAAGCCCCGCCCTCTCCTCCTACGTGGGGATCGCCTACATTTCCCAGCAAGCTTAGGACCCCGCCCTTCGCAATGAAGACAGAGCTCAGCAGTGTCCAATCAGAGTTCAGACCCCTCAACCCATCGGGGCTCGGCCTGAGGTACTATGGGAAATGTAGTCCGGTCACGCGTTAAGCGGTAGAAAAACCCAAAGCCTCAAGAGTCCAACTTTTGTTTAGACTGTAACTAGCGCTCAGATCTTTCCTACAAGCTTTTTTTTTTTTTTTTTCAAATCAACCCATCGGGGCTCGGCCCGAGGTACTATGGGAAATGTAGTCCGGTCACGTGTTAACCGGTAGAAAAACCCAAAGCCTCAAGAGTCTAACTTTTGTTTAGACTGTAACTAGCACTCAGATCTTTCCTACAAGCTTTTTTTTTTTTCTTTCAAAATACGGATGGATTTCCATGGGTGGGTCATAACCATTTTTAAAATAAGTGAAATAGGTTCAAGGAAAATGGTTAGAAATAGTTATTGAGCCCCCGCCAGCATGGCTCAGTGGTTGAGCATCACCTATGAACCAGCAGGTCATGGTTCGATTCCCTCAGGGCACATGCCTGGGTTGCAGGCTCCATGCCCAGTAGGGGGCCTGCAGGAGGCAGCCAATTAATGATTCTCTCTCGCCCTGACCGGTTTGGCTCAGTGGATAGAGCGTCGGCCTGTGGACTGAAGGGTCCCAATGAAGACAGAGCTCAGCAGTGTCCAATCAGAGTTCAGACCCCTTCAACCCATCGGGGCTCGGCCCGAGGTACTATGGGAAATGTAGTCCGGTCACGTGTTAACCGGTAGAAAAACCCAAAGCCTCAAGAGTCTAACTTTTGTTTAGACTGTAACTAGCACTCAGATCTTTCCTACAAGCTTTTTTTTTTTTCTTTCAAAATACGGATGGATTTCCATGGGTGGGTCATAACCATTTTTAAAATAAGTGAAATAGGAAAAAAATAAAAATAAAAAAATAAAAAAAGTGAAATAGGTTCATGGAAAATGGTTAGAAATAGTTATTGAGCCCCTGCCAGCATGGCTCAGTGGTTGAGCATCACCTATGAACCAGGAGGTCATGGTTCGATTCCCTCAGGGCACATGCCTTGGTTGCAGGCTCCATGCCCAGTAGGGGGCCTGCAGGAGGCAGCCAATTAATGGTTCTCTCTCATCACTGATGTTTCCAGCTCTCTCTCTCTCCCTTCCTCTCTGAAATCAATAAAAATATAAAATAATAAAAACAAAGGCAAACGTATTACAAATATTCGCTCGTGTGGCTCTGTTCCTGCGTTGTTGCCATGGAGTGGTGTTCTCTGGGGCAGACACTACAGCGAATTCGCTTTGTTCTGGCTGACGTTTGTGCATTTCACAAATGAGCATCTGTGTTTCCATGTTCTGCTATTTTTTTTTTCAAATATATTTTTATTGATTTCAGAGAGGAGGGGAGAGGGAGAGAGAGAGAGAGATAGAAATATCAATGGTGAGGGAGAATCATGGATCAGCTGCCTCCTGCACGCCCCCTAGTGGGGATCAAACCCACAACCCGGGCATGTGCCCTGACCAGGAATAGAACCGTGACCTCCTGGTTTACAGGTCGCCGCTCAGCCACACCGGCCGGGCACCTGAGGATATTTTTTTCATTGATTTTTAGAGAGAGTGGAAGGGATGATGTTCTAACCACCTGAGCTACTGGGCCAGGGCAGAAGTTTCTTAATTTTAATGTAGTCAGTTTTCCAAATATTTATGCTGGGTACTTTTGGGGACTCTTTTAAGAAGTCCTTCCCTACCCCAAGGTGATAAACACATTGTCCTTCATTATCTTCTAAAAGATTTGACTTCCACATTGAAGTCTTTAATCATCTGAAGTTTTGTGTGTATGTGTGTGTGTGAGGTGTGATGTAGAGATCCAACTTTATTTTTTCCCATAAGGATGACCAATTATTTTTATTTATTTATTTATTTTTAAATAATAAAATTTTTAAGTCTTTTTAATTTCTTAAAGATTTTTCGATGTAATTTCTTTTTTAAAAATACTTTTATTGATTTCAGAGAGGAAGGGAGAGGGAGAGAGAGATAGAAACATCAATGATGAGAGAGAATCATTGATCAGCTGCCTCCTGCACGCCCCACACTGGGGATCGAGCCTGCAACCCAGGCCTGTGCCCTGACTGGGAATAATCGAACCCAGGACCCTTCAGTGTGCAGGCCGATGCTCTATCCATTGAGCCAAACCAGTTAGGGCGACTTTCAACATTTTTACTAGGATGCGTCTGACTGTGGGTCTGTTTATGTTTATGCTACTGGAGTTCACTGAGCTTCCCAGATGTGTCCGTTAGTGCGATTTGGAAAGTTTCAGCCATTACTTCTTCAATTTCTTCCCTGTTCCTTTCTCTCCCTCCTCTCCTGGCACGTCCATGATGCCTACGTTGGTCTGCGTAATGGTGTCAACCACAGCCATGGTCTCTGCCAGGGACTTTCTGTATTTGGGTTCAATATTTAAAAACATAGAACGGCTAGGGGGAAAGAACTGCCTATTCATCATGCCAAGCCAGGGCCCGCATGAGGTGGGGTTCCTCAGTCACCCCGTTTCCCAGCTGAAGTGCCCAGGGGATGATGGGAACCTTAAAGTTTGCAGCCTCTCCCCTGGGAGGCTGCAGGGCCCTGCACAACCTCGCCTCTTCCTCCAGGACGTCTTCCTGGTGTGGCCTCATCTCAATCGCTCCGTGCAAGACACCTGGTTATTTCCCCATATGCCTTCCACCCTTCCACCCTTCCTTTCCAGGAAGACTTCTGTTTTATTTTTTTTAATTTTTATTTTTTATCTTTAAATTCTTTATTAGTTAAGGTATTATAAATGTGTCCTCATCTCCCCCATTAACCCCTATCCTCCCCAGTCCCCCACTCATGCTCTCATCCCCCTGTTGTCCATGTCCATTGGTTTGGCTTATATGCATGCATACAAGTCCTTTGGTTGATTTCTTCCCCTTATCCCCACCCTCCCCTACTTTCCCTCTGGGGATTAATAGTCTGATTGCTGTTTCTCTGTCTTTGGATCTGTCCCTG